GTTTCGGGCGCTGCCACCTGCACGAGGACGAGACATGCCTCCTCTACAAGGCCGACTACCCGGCGTCGCTGGACATGCGGGTGTCGGGCACGTGGAAGCTGAGCGCCGGTGGAGTCCCGGTGCCACCACCGCCCATCGGCGCTGCCCGACGCACCGAGATAGTGGGCATCCGGTCCTCGCTGCCGGAGCAAGCGCGGAACGAGCCGAGGTATGCCCCCAACAGCGTCGCGCCATGGACGGGGTACTTCGAACGCCGCCACGCCGACCAGCTCACCGCCTCGAATGGCGTCGAGCCCTGTGGCCGCCACAACTTCGAGGGGCGGCGCCGATGGTGGGGCGTCCCCGGCCGCACCCTCTAAGCCATCCTCGAGCACATCGAGGCCAACAACACGCCGTGGTTGGAGTACCCGCCACCCCCCACGTTCTCTCGCCGTCGCGGCAGCTCTTGGACGCCGCGACGAATGGAGACGGGCGACCTCGTCGTCGTAGGGCTCCCTGTCCTCCGGATCACCGGCCGTCTGCCCCGTCAAGCCGGAGCCACAGGAGACGCCGCTTTGGCACCGCACCTGTGCGGCGCCCTCGTCATCAACGAGGGCGGCCATGGCCCCTCCCCTCCTTCCTGCCTTGTCGAGCCGAAGACCGAGCCGTGGTTGCTCCCTGTGAAGAAGGAGCACGAGGCCATGGCCGCCGCTGACGAGACTGCCCTCAAATGGGTGAGGCAGGACTACGTCCGCGAGCAGGTGGCGCGCTAGCGCCGCGCCCTTGACAAGATCGTCGCTCGGCGCTGCGGACGTGAGGAGGGCAACATCGTCATCCTCGACGACAACAACGAGGAGGCGCCCGGGCCGTCCAACCCCCCACGCATCGGCGACACTGGTCACGGGTGCAGCAGGGATGGCGGCGACGGCGACGACGGCGGCGACTACACCAATATGTACACGCTGCTCGACATGTAGGAGGCGGGCAGTGGTGGCGGCGATGACAGCTTTTAGTAGTACTATTTAGTTGTTTTTAAATTTATGTTTTCAGTTTTTGTACAAATATCAATGAAATCGCGTAGTTTGGCTGAATTTGTGTTGCCTTTGGCCAAATTTCTGCCTAGTTTAGTTTTTAAAAAACGGCGGCTGGGACGGCCTTGAGACGGCGGTTGGGAAACCGGCCGCCCCCACACCGATTTTCTCGCTAGCGTGCCCCCAGGCGGCGCTATTTCAAGCCCATGGGGCCCCGAATGAGTGGAGATGCTCTTAGTGTCACCATTGTTGAAGAAGATGTACTATGGATTGGGGAAATCATACAGGAAGAGAGGAAAATTCTGATTTGTAAGATAGGGAAAACCACACATTGTGGTGCCTTGTATTGATCATTATATAGAGGTTACAAGGCAGAGTTCGTATCGTGTTATACACGGACACATGTACAAGGACTACACATATACAACCGTATATCTATACAAATACAATACGGTTATATATTCTAACACCCTCCCTCAGTCGTAAACGGGCGTCGACGAATGTTAAGACTGTCCAGAAAATCCAAGAAGAGAGGTGATGACAATCCTTTGGTGAAAATGTCTGCAAACTGGGAAGAACTCAGAACGTGAAGAACCCGGACCTCACCTGTGGTGACACGGTCTCGTACAAAGTGTAGATCAATCTCCACATGCTTGGTGCGCTGATGATGGACGGGATTTTGTGTCATGTAGACGGAGCTCACATTGTCACAAAAAACCACAATGGCACCAGTCATCGGTCGATGAAGCTCATGAAGAAGCTGCCGTAACCAACATGTTTCAGCCACCACATTTGCAACTACCCTGTATTCGGCCTCGGCACTGGAGCGAGAGACTGTGTGCTGCCGCTTAGCAGACCATGACACCATGTTAGCGCCGAGGAAGACACAATAACTAGAGGTAGACCGGCGAGTGTCTAAGCAACCTGCCCAATCAGCGTCAGAATAGGCTGTCAACTTGTTAGAGCTGCGTCGGAACAAAGTGAGGCCATAGCTGGTGGTGTCGCGGATGTAGTGAAGCACACGCTTCACAAGGAGCAAATGATTAGCCCGAGGATCATGATATGAAGACAAATATGCTACAAAACATAGGAGATGTCTGGCGGAGTGAACGTAAGGTACTGAAGACCACCTGCAATACTACGGTACTCGGTGGGATCTGCAATAGGATCACTGGACTTGGCTGGAAGTTTGGAGGTAGTGTTAACTGGAGTAGAGATGGATTTGCACTGCAACATGCCAACTCTGTCAAGAAGATCCAATGCATACTTCTCCCGTGAGAGGAACAGACTGTCCTTGCTGCATGTGACAGAGATGCCCAGAAAGTAATGAAGATCGCCCATATCTGTCATACTGAACTCAGTACGAAGAGAGGCAATCAAACTGTGCAGCAATGTCGAGGAAGATGCAGTCAGGATGATGTCATCCACATAGAGCAGGAGATAGGCCATTTCAGTGCCACGCCGATAGACGAACAACGAGCTGTCGGACTTGGAGCCAACAAAACCGACCAATGCAATGAACGAGGCAAACTGCTGAAACCATGCTCGAGGTGCCTGTTTCAAACCATAGAGTGATTTGTTGAGACGACAGACCTTATCAGGGAAGTTAGGATCGATAAACCCAGAAGGCTGACGAGCATAAACAGTCTCGATGAGAGTGCCATTGAGGAACACATTCTTGACATCAAGCTGATGAATAGACCAGTCACTAGAGAGAGGAAGAGAGAGCACTGTGCGAATAGTGGCTGGCTTGACGACACGGCTGAAGGTTTCATTAAAATCAACACCTTCGCGCTGAGTAAATCCACGAAGCACCCAACGAGCTTTGTATCGATCCAAAGAACCATCAGATTTCGTCTTGTGAGGGTAGATCCACTTACCAGTAACGATGTTAGCATTGCGAGGTGGATCAACGAGTTCCCAAGTGTTGTTGGAGAGAAGAGCACCATATTCGTCAACCATAGCTGAATGCCAGTTCGGATCCTTGAGAGCACCATGATAGGTCTTCTGTATGGGAGATAAACCCTCAACATGAAGATCAAAAATCTTCTTCGGTTGCACAATGCCCCGTTTAGCACGAGTGGCCATGGCGTGAGATGGTGGCGGTGGGGCGCTGCGCAGACGGCGGGACCGAGGTGGGTCTACTGCAGCAGCAGCTGGCGATGGCATGACTGGGGTTGGCGCCACGACAGTAGGAGAAGGGCCCCCATCAGGGTGCTCGGCAGAAGCTGCTTCACTAGGAGATCGAGGCGGTGCAGCAGGTGACGACGACGGCCGGGGGAGGACGGCGGCAACGACCGTGGCGGCGGTGTTGGCGCCGCGATGGGGCCTGCGGCCGGG